ATTAAAAAGAACTTCTGGCCAGGTGGTAGTGGCTCATGCTTTTAATCCCAGTACTCAGGAAGCGAAGGCCAGTCTGTTCTGCAAAGGGAGTTCTATGACAGCCTGGGCTGAACAAAGAAACCCTGTCTTGTGCCAGGCAGCGGTGGCGCACGCCTTTAATCCCAGCATTTGGGAGGCAGAGGCAGGCAGATCTCTGTGAGTTAGAGGCCAGCCTGGTCTACAAGAGCTAGTTCCAGAACAGGGTCCAAAGCTACAGAGAAACCCTATCTCAAAAAAGAAAAAAGAAAGAAACCCTGTCTTGAAACAACAACAACAAAATAAATAAATAAACAAACAAACAAATCAATAAATAGAACAAGAAAAAAATAACTTCTGACAGACACTGATGTAGTCTTCTTCAGGAATTAAAGACGTGGCTCTTGGAATTGGTTGAGCCTGGGTTAGAACCCCAGCCCTCTTCTCCAGGCTGTATGGCTTTCAACAATTAACTTCTCTGAATTGGTGTAACAAAAACACTAATTCCTACCCTGATGCAAGATACATTCGGTGTGGCAGCTATTGCTTGCAGCAAGGTCTTACTACAGTCTGCTCCTGGTGGCACTTGGCTATTCTGATTAACATAGTGCTATGTTCTCCTTCCTATCAGAGACTGCCATCTTCACAATCCATCCACACGTCCATGTCCATTACACAAGCTCACCATGTAGGTCTCTGCACCTGTCCTCACAGTGGTGCAACAGATGATCCTGTTTGTATTCGGTCCTTTCGCAGCACAGGTAGAGAGAGGGAGGCTGGCTGTAGCCCAAGACAGGGATGCTTCTGGAAGCTCTGAGAATCTGAACTCCCTCTGCTTCCCGCCCCCAACACATACACTAGAAGGCCAACTCAATTTCCACTGTCATTTCTATGGCAGCCCCAAGTGTCCCCTGCCCTCCATCCCCGGGACAAAGGCTCAACTTGGCTTTCAAGTCAGCTGTGGTTGGGGAACCCCCTGCTGCCTGCAAAAACCAACTTGACTTTGAAAAGGAAGAGAAGGAAGCCAGAGGGAAGGGAGGCTGGGCCACTCCCTGTGGGGGCAGGTGCTAAGTAACTCTATAAACCCTAGCTAACGATGCAATTGCAACCATAAACAGAGCCTAAGAGAGATCAGGGCCAGAAGCCAGACCCTCAAAGGGCAGCCAGGCTAGAGGGTAGGTCCCCTCCCACCTACTTCCCGGCGTCCAGGAAATGGGGTGGGGGCAGGTGGCGGCTCCCTGGTGATGGGATGGGCAGACACTGGACATCTCCAGCGCTACTTGAATGAACTCTTCCCTGGCTCACTCCCTGCCCACCTCTTACTGAGTCACCAGGCTATCAGCCCTAAATGTAGTTGGCTCTCTGTGGATTCAGTGCTCACCTCAGATGTACCTTGCTTGCCTCACTCCATGGGGCCTGGAACCAAGAGACCTGGGTCTCCATCTAGCTCCACCTCCTAGGTGGACAGAGAGTTAGCACTCAGCTGTAACAAGCCCTGTGAAGAGTAAGCCATATCGGCTTCTCTCACGCAGGAGAACCCCAAAACAGACCTGTCCCTCACCACACGCTCTCCTTCTCAACTCTCCTATAACTGAGGCAAGTCTAAAGAAGGGACCCAAAAGAGCCGAGGGAAACTGAGGCACAGTAAAAGCTCCAGAGGCAGCAACCCTTCCCCCTTCCAACTACCTCTCTTGACTGGATGGTTACTAAAGGCTGGCTCTCTCTCCAGACTAGGCGCTGCGGGGGAGTAGAGCCTGGAGACTGGACACTGGCTCCCCAGCGGGGCACCAAACAGCTACGAGGGGAGCGGGCCATCGAGCCTGACCTCCGCGTCTGGACTGCCAGTATCTGCACCTCGCCGCCCTAGAGGAAACTGGAGATCCGCCCCCACCTCACCCCCCAACAGTGCCTGGTCTGGGCCAGCGGAATCCGGGCCAAGGAGGGTGTAGGGACCTCAGGCCACGTCCTAGAGACTCCCCTTCCCAGCTGCATTAAACAGTCCCTCACTCCGGGTCGGTGGAGCCCACACTTCCCCAGTGAATCGAGCACCCAAGTTTAGTCCGGCAACTGTCACACTGAATAGTCCTCTGCAGGACGAGCGAAAGCTGACGCACGTTGGGGAAGGGCACCGCGGTGAGGGGCAGGCGCAGAATGGAGGGCGGGGGCCGGGGGAGCGCTGGCGCAGACCAGCCCCACCCGGGCAGGCGTCCTCCCTTCCTCTCCAGGGC